ATCAAGGCTGAATATGCCTCATCCATAGCTCGACATCAGAACTCATTTTGGGACGCCTCTTTTTAGGAAGGGAGGTAAGGGCATAGAGTTTTGGTTTGAAAATGACATGCTTAGCGCGGGTGATCATGGGAAGAGTTGGTTGGGGAGGGGGTGAGGTCCACATCAGTAAGGTCAATATAATTGAAGATGCATCTGAGGACCATTGAATTATTTACCTCTAAGAAAAGGAGACAAAGTTAATCTGCCATGGAGAGGTTCGTTTATCATTGGTTTGGTATTTTCGAATGAGTTAGCTCGTTTGGATCACAAACTAACCTTGAACCAATGTTAAAGGTACAATTAATAAACAAGTCAAGTTTGAGCAAATCAACTTTTTAACAAGCCCAACTTTTTCAGATAATGATTTGGAAAGATTCAGCTAGCTAAGAGGGTCTTAAATGCTTGTACAAGGTCATTCTCCTCATAGTGAGTCTCTTTAGCAATGAGTTAAATATTAAGGTGTACACGCTTTGGCTCTCTTCTTATTTTGAAATTGTTAGTACTAACTTACAAAAAACCAAGAGCTTTAATGGAATGCTCTCTTTGTCTGAGCTTATTCATTTTCATCTGATTTTATTAAGTATGATCTAATTTGAATTTTATAATCAGTTCTAAATATTTCTGCTCTAATTCGCTCTAAATTGATCTAATTCTCGTTAAAACTTAAATTATTTCTGATCTAATCTAATAGAATCTAAATCTTTTTTATCTGATATGTGCTTTTCGGAAATCGTTTCAATAAGAATAAGTATAATAAAAGTAGAAAAGAGAACAAACCCTAACATGAAACTATGTAGGTGCTCCGAATTTCTTTATCAATTGTTATATCATTCATTTCACACTAAAACTTAAAGTTATTGTAGTTCCTTATTTATTAAATTGAAAAAGTATCACATAAAATATGAGTAAAATATAATCTTTATCATCAATAAGAGTGACGTATTTTTTTCTTCAAAATAGTATTTTGTATTGTGACGATGTAGCATTGTATATTGACATTTTTTTAGTATTTTTGGTATTATATGTTGACATTACTCGCATTGTACGTAATTCCTATTCTGAGATAAAAAACGAATCGTATTTTTGTTATTTTCATATGTTTTACTCAAATTGAAATCTTTCACCTAAATTAAAACATCATAATATCAACAAGAAAAGATTGAAATAAAATCTATTATCTTTTTATCATTTCATATTGTCTATTAAAAATTTTAGAGATGTTGTTCTCAAATCTCCAACTAAAAGTGTCCTATTTATCCAAATTCTTGGAGTTTTGTATAAGAAAAAAATGTGGAATCCTCATCCTAAAGGGTCCCACACCCTTATGTGAGGACAATAAGATTTTTGTCACGACTAATTTCACCTACAAGAAGTTGAAATCAAATAATCACCTCCAAAATCCATGCTCTCACCTGAAGGTTGTCAAAAAGGCTCACCAATTGTCTTTGGCAGTTGAGTTATGGTTAGAGATGATCAAAAGGACCACACCGATCGGACCAGACTTGTCTTTTAGAAGTACTAGTTTTATTTAAGACGCGATCGATCTGGTCTTTTTTAAAAACCAGTTCAGACCGGTCGTTGTTAAAAAATATACAACCTTTTGGGACCAGGTAGTCCGGCTAGGTCCGGTCTTAGTCCGATATGGTCACTATTTTATATAATTTTTAAAATGTTACTTCTCAGTTTTTTAGAAAACTAAAAAATTTAAATATTACTTCTTTTTTCATCTAATTTCTTCAATTACTACATGTTGATTTTTATTAAATATTTATGCAACATAAATGTTTTCTTTCTAGGATATATATTAGATGCAACAAATAAAAAATATTTTCTTGAGTATAAACTTGTACGTTTGAATTTGTTATGACATATTTTTAAATTCATAAAAAATATGAAGGATAAAGTTATATAGTAATAAGATAAATCTATTTCTACTTAAATAACATGTTAAAAAATAGAAGTACTTATATAAAAGTTATATTTTAATGTTATATTATGAGACTAGTCCAAACCTGATCCCGGACTAGTATTTTTACAAATGACCACCGGTACGGGACCGGTCTAGCCCTCCCCCAATTAAGAGGATCGAATAAGAGTATTAGACTACCGGTCTAAGGTCCAAGACCAGATCCGTCCCAAAGACCACTTTAGTCTCAATCTTTCTCGATCCAACCACAATCTATCCCGATCCATATTTTCGGTTCAAATGTCTTTGGTCTTCTCCACCTATGGTCAGCTGCGCAACTTTCTTTGAAATAGCATCTAGAAGTGCGTAGGAAATGCTTTTGCTAGACGTGGCCATTGTAGCTAGAAGTGCGTCTTTCTATTTGTATATTTCCAATTTCTTGCGAAATGTTAAAGGCAATGATTAATTAAAGTACTACTTGTAATTACGTCTTTCTTTTAACAAAGGGGGAAACAAATCTCCTTAACAATAACCACGGGCACGCGAGGATCGATTACCGGAATCCATGAAATTAGTGAAGTTTCTCGCTCCTAAAATCCATCAATTCCCAGAAAAAATGCCAGACGGAAGAAGAAGCCCATACAAGGACGGAATCAATAGAACTTTTAGCCTGGAGGAAGACGCGGCCGGCGACGGCGGAAACACTCACGGCGGAGCAGCGGAGAAGGTCTCTATATCGGCGACGGCGTGCTCGGCGGTGCTGCTGGCGGTAGTGTGCTTCGCAATCAGCCTCGCGATTGTGCTCCTGGTGAACTGCGTGAACAAGTCCATCTGTCCGGTGCGACGGAGCCTGCGCAAAACCGCCATCGCCTCCGCGATTTTCCTCGTGATTTCTTCCACCGCCGCCGTGTATCTCGCCTTCAAAGTTGTCCAATCTGTAAGAATTTACCTCAAGATGTAGAAATTGAGCTCCAACTTCGTTTCACCTTTATCGCGAATTCGATTTGTTTCTGATAACAACAATCCTTCTTGTTGGGTCTAGATTTGGGAAGAAGCTCTTTAAAATATTGTACTCCCCATTCATTAAACTGTCATTACTTTTACTAATTACTGTGTTTTGATTTTGTTTTGAAAACCTAGTTACTGTGTTTTCATTATTCATTAATCCCCAGTCAAGAAAAAACAGTGAAATGGGAAAATACTCCATTATGGAAAGCTTGTCATCATTAACCTAATGGCTATCCCAATGTGTAGGTGTTCTTTTTTTAGAGATAATCTCAAATCTGGGTGCTGTCCAGCATGATTCGAAAGCTTGTTTCAAGTTTTCAAAAAAAAAATGATTTTGGCAATAAATTTTAAAAAAAATAAAAAATTTTAAAATATTAATCAAATTTAACTTTTTTGAATCAAATTAGATTAATTTTAATCAACAATTATATAAATATTGCATTACATATTAATATATGCAATAAATAATTTCTTTTTATTTTTTTCTAAAATAAATCTAAGAATATCTCTGTCCCTTGTGTAAAAATTTATCCATCCAATCACTCTCTCATCCAAATCGTCTCTCCATTATTCGTTTTTAAATATCTTATTTTTGAAACAAATACCCACGACTCATTTCATTCATCCATCCGCTTAATTAATTATTTATGTGTCCCAATTTACTCTATTTTATTATTTATTTTAAATAAAAATAACATGAAAACTACTCTGTATAAAATTAAATATTTAGAAATTATATGAATTTATGTTTAGAAGAATAAAATTAGAGAAGAAAATTACAATAGTATTTTAATAAAATGAAATATTTAAATATTTTGAAATTAAATACTAAAAATTAAACATTTTAATTAAATAAAATAATTAAATATTTTGAAAATAAATATTACAAATTCAATTTTTTAAATAAATAAAATAAATATTTAAATTAATAAGCCTCACATTTAAATTCATCCAATTGAATGGATGATGTTTAATCCTCTCTCTCTATAATCAAACAGTCACAATATATTAAATGATATCTTCCATCCATTCATAATTTAAACCCCTTTTAAACATCGTCAATATAGATTCAGAGATACTCTAATGAAATTATTTTTACATAAAATTGTATTATATATCAATATATACCATTTACATATTAGTTCTTATTTAATTAACGATTAAAGTTTATTCAATTAATGTTTCTATTTTTGAAGCGACATTTCCAGTCACTATTTTGAGGATATGTATGAACAAAAACGGTAAAAGCGGGACAACTGGACAAGTACGACGATTAGAGTTTAGATCTAGTCACGTTATAATGGGCTTGGAGGGCCTAATTAAAGCAAAAGCCCATCTTTTATTTGTCATGGCAAAAGCCCATCTTTGATTGGGCGCAGAACACAAGACTTTCTGGACAAGAGTCTGGTTTAGGCCCCCACCTCATCCTCATCTGTCACATGGCTTCCCATTCCCTTGTTTGGTGACATGATTTGGGGTCGGCCCAACAGCCACAAGTTATGTTTTAGACGGAGCTTAAAAGAGGTAAACTTGTAAGGTTGGCAATTGGATATAAGAGATAGAATTCATGTATACCAAACTTTTTTTAGTACATGTGAAGAATAAATAGAGAAATTTAAAAAAAGTTATAAAAATGAAATAAAGAGAATATATATATTTATATGGGTTCGGTTCTATGTCCACTTTGCTTGAATGGTCACTGGGATACTGGACATATACGATGCTCTGTTTACAAAATTGATAGTTTCTACCTTACTCTCCAGTAAACCCTCCCACCTAATCCTGTCCCAAACCTACCTCCTACTCATGTCAATTGCAGGTTGCTAGCTTAGTTGACTTTGGGGTCAAAAGTTTTGACTCAAAGTCAACTAAACTTGCACCTTCTAATTGACGTGGGTAGAAAGATGGATTGGGGTCTGGACTTAGTGGGGAGAGGTTTACTCAATAAGGGTGAATGTTATGAGGGTAGAAACTATAAATTTTGCGAACAAAACATCGTAAATGTCTCAATTAAGACAGTGTCTTGTGAGGCCATTCAAAAAGAGTTCCCATGAAACCTAAGTGCATTCACATTAAGCTTTCCCACTCAGTTTAACTTAGTAATTCATAGAAATTAACAACATAATAAAACATACAAGAAAATGCGTCACATAATAAAATGGGAATTGAAGTTGTTGGTACTAATGGTATATATATGGCTCCTTTGCTTACTTATTAGGAGAAATGAGAAGGAAAGACCAACTCCATCAAGTCAATATCCTTCTTCTCATTACCTCCGGCGCCACTTGAGGAGGATGGCGGCGATAATTCGCCGCCATTGCAGTACTTCATCATCGTAAATCGGTCTGCGTCCCTGACTTTGCGCCCTTCATAGCAACCGTCGCCATTGGACGACGACGAAGGTGGCGTGCCCCCATCCAACAAATACGAGATGTAGTTGTTGTCGGGACTCCAGAACTGGTTAGCTTGTGGCGGCGGCGATGGCGGCGTGGCGATGATCGAGTCACCAAACACCGGCATTGGCGTCAAACCGCCCGCAATCTTGCGGTCGTTATCGGGCGGTGCAGTTTTTCCAAATAGGGTTTCCATGAAGTTCATCTCCTCGACGTGCGTCTGCTCAGTTGCCAAAAACGAGGACGACTCGTTGCAGTCCAACTCGTCGTCCTCGTCCGACCCGAAGTGGACTGAAGACGGGTCGTCCTCGGGCACGGCGGCTCCAGCCGTGCCGAGGCACTTGGCCCTAATGTAGTCTTGAAGAACGGTGGATAACTTGTTGGGACTTGGATTATTTTTGGCATTCTTCGCGCCCTTTCTGCGCGAATTCTGCCGCCTTTTGGTGGCATTCCAGTGATTCTTGATTGCATTTTCGGGCCTTCCGGGTATGCGTTTGGCGATCTCGGCCCACTTGTTGCCGAGCTTCTGGTGGGCTTCTACCAGCATCCTCTCTTCTTCTTCGCTCCATCCATCTTTCTAAATGCACAATTTCCAATCACCTTTAAAACATGTCATTGAAAATGATACTCCATCCGTCCGAAAATGTTCTTCACATTTGACTTTTCTTGGTCAAAGTTTATAAACTTTGACTACGATTTGTGGAAAAAACACATTGTATTATGATGTAAATTTAATATCAATATATTCATAATGAAACGTAGTTTTCAAATATCAATTTTTTATAAAATATATATATGTACAAATATAGATATTAATGGTCAAAGTGCAATATTGTTTCCATCATCTCCGATGGAGCCAAAATTTCACCTGTTTTTGGCTTTGGGGTGTGATGGAATAAATCAAAATGGATATCTAAACTATTTGCGCTGCTTTAATTAATGAAGTAGCAGCTAGTCAAGCAATGCAACTTTCTACGTTGAGCCGGGGGTCTCTTTGGAAACAGCCTCTCTACTTTCGAGTAGGGGCAAGGTCTGCGTACACACACCCTCCCTAGACCCTACTCTTGTGGGATTTAACTGGGTTGTTGTTGTTGTTGTTTTGTTGGTCAAAGTGCAATATTGGAGACCGTGAAAAGTCAAATGGGAAGAACATTTCCGGACGGAGGGAGTAATCCTTTTGTTTCATAAAAAGATTTTATCTTTGTGTTGATGCCGAGATTAAGAAAAGTAAAATTGTATAGTTGAAAATAAAGTACAGGAGAGAGAAATTTTAAGAGCCACAAGTTGTTTTTCAAAAATGAAAAAAGTAAAACATTTTATAAGAACAAACAAAAAAGAAAATATGAAACTTTGGCCTTGTTTGGAAAGAGCGTTTTCAATTATTATTAGCGTTTTGGATAAAATTTTAACGGTGTAGATTAACTATGAAAATGTAAAGCTAAAAGTTATTGTTATATAGTCTTTTCAAAATGTTAACGCTTAGTTCTAATGGTGATGCCAAACGGAGCCTTTATGAGCTAGAGATAGTATTAAAATAAACATTCTTTATTACAAATCAAGATTACGATAAACAAGTGCCAGCTTGGCAACCGATCAAAGGCTTAATTTAGTTTTTTGAAAATGTTAATTATTTCATGATGAGTACTTCTATGATGCACCTTGGGTGTATACTATTTTTGTGTATTTTCTCACATTAATTTGTTTTTTGTTTTTTCATTAAAAAAATAAATGTTCATCTAAGTAGTAAGAAAATGCTTATTTTACTCATATCTAGGTCAATGATAGATCTTAGAACCACTATAGAATTTGAGTTGAACTAACTAATAGATTGGATTCAATCTTTTAATGTGGTTCAGCCCAAGTGTGTTATTGCCCAATCCAGTTGTCCACACCCAATCCTAAATTTATCATGGTATTAGAGAAGGTTTTGGCCCACCTCGTTTGTCAAGGTGTCCGTCTAGACGTTCATTCCTAGCGGCCCGTTAGTCTTTAGCCCAGTTGTCCGTATGGAGTATGTACCCAACGGCCTGTGGCCCGTTTAACACGATTGCTCGTCTAAAAGTCCATACCCAACGGCTCGTGATCATTTAAGGTGTTGGAGCTCAAAAAAAAAGTCAAGGGAATGAGAGTTCATTTGCAAGTGGTCAATCGGTTAGATTCAAAATGGCCCGGTTGCCACTTAAAGGGGAGTGTTAAGAGTATCCCACATCGGAAAAATGTGAGGAAAATAATCGGTATATAAGCTCTTGAGTTGAACTAACTAATCGATTGTATTCAATCTTTTAATGTGGTTCAGCCCAAGTGTCTTATTGCCTAATCCAGTTGTTCACACCCAATCCTAAATTTATCATGCACATTTAAGATATTTATCTAAAATGCTAAAAAAAATCCCAAACAAGCTAAAGAAAGATTGAAAACATGGAGTTGAGATATTTTAAACTTCACATGTCCGAATATATTTTTCTATTTGAAAGAACATGAAAAGTCTCATTTTTCAAAATAATTTTATTTACAAATTGATATAAATATAAAAAATACGAGTACAAATTATATCCTTCAAAACCAAGGCAAAAGTGCAATTCTATACAAAATAAGAGTTGACAAGAATATATGATTATCAAATTATCAATAAAAACATGCATACAAAAATTATTTATTTGAAATTAGTTTTTATTCTTAGTTTAGTCTTTTTTTTGTCCTCAAAATTTAACACTTCCAAATTATTTGAAATGAAGCAAAAATATTTTTGGAATGTAAGAAAAACAAACCAAGTAACTACCAATAAAGTATGGGTAACTCCACATTTTTAACCCATCTTGACCTTTTTTTGCATAGACACACATAGATAGTAATAATTATAAGTACCGCATTTAGAGTTATTATTTGTTCGTGTTTGCAGTGTGAAATATGGGGTCAAGCACAACACATATAACTATTCCTTCCATCTCATAAATTTCTTTTTCTTTTCTTTTTCACAGTCTCCATTGCATTTAGTTGACCATTAATATTTCTATTTATATAGTATAAATATAAATTAAAAAAATACTCGTTTTAAAACTACGTTCAAAACTACGTTTTAATTTTTTTGAAAGGAGTACATTTTAGAATTAAATTAATGATATTAAGTTTATATCATAATACAATATTACCTTCGTCTATGAGTATCTTTCCAGTTTTAATTTTTGTAGCAACAACTTTTAACGTTTGACCTAAAATTAAATAAAGCTATTTGTTATATTAATCAGATGAAACAATATTTTGAAAATATTTTAAAAAATTAATCTTAAAAATTTAATTCATGGACACAGTTTGGTAATTTTGACAGTAAAAAGTCAAACAAGAAAATACTCAGAGACGAAGGTAGTATGTTTTTACTATAGTTTGTGGTCAAATTTTGAAATTGTTGACCAAGAAAAGAAAAAAAAATATGGCCAGGAAAGAGGGAGTACAAAATTTAATCGTGATTTAGGTCATATTCTTTTGGACTAGAATTTCAGAGTTGGATGTTGAAAAAGACTACAAAGAGTTGGAAGAAATTAGAAAGAGACTGAAAATATTAAAAAAATTAAAGTGTTAAAAAATCACTCAATTAAATTATTACTCAAATAAATATGTAAAAAATTCTAATTTTAGATATAAAAAAAATATATCCTTACCCATGTTTGAGACGGTAAGTTATCAATTTGTATATAGTATATACTCATCATATAAAACATTTTTGTCACTTCTTATTTTATAAAAATTTTAATGTAATTTTTAAATATATAATTTTAAATTAAGAAATCTCATTGGATACGCGTAAAAAGTACAAAAATAATAAAATAAGAATTCTCTAAGTCTTTTAAAACCAAAATAAGAGTATAATAACAGTGTGGTGTAAGAGCACGCAATGGCAGTGTAATGAAAAGGTAATGACAGTATAATATATCATTGTGATCAGTCAACCGTCAGCGATGCGTGTGATACTCTGGTGGCCGACAGTGAAGGCAGTGTGGCAGTGATAGTGTGACAGTTACAATGTGTCAATGTGACAATGTGATTAGTGTGGCAGTGTAACAATGTCAGTGTGAACTTCTATTTTGGTCTTAAAAAAATTTTAAGACTCATATTTTATATCTTCATTGTTTTTTACTCCTATCAAAAGACTTCTCCCTTTTATTTTCTATTTCAATACACTTTGTAAATAAAATCATTTTAAAAATCATAGGATTTTGTATGCTGATCAAAAGAGATAATTTATTTTTTGGAACTTATTTCATACATTAATACCAAACAGAAAAAAGTGGAAACAAAATATGGACAATAATTTTTTTTTGTGAAGCAAGTATATGTATGGACAATGATTTGATCTTCTAGTTGTTCTAGAACTCAATTTAAATACTCACTCCATTTCATGAAAGGGATCCTATTTTGACTTTTAAGAGAAATTAAGAGTATATATATTTGTAGTTGACTTTATAATTTTACCCTTGATGTAATAGGTAAAAGTAAGATGTAATGAGTAGATTATTAATGAAAAAGTATTACTCCCTCCGTCCCCAATTTGATTACAAATTGGGGCTTACGGGGAAAAATATATCACTTGTTGAAATCATTTTATTTACAAATCAGTATATCAATAAGAAATAAAAATTATATATTAGAAAACTTCGTCAAAAATTCTACAAAATAGGAGGTGACAAGAATATTTTATTTTATCAAATACTTAATGAAATCGCGTAAATAAACAAAATTTATCGAGATGAGAGGAAAAAAATATTGTAATCAAAATGGGGACGGAGGGAGTATGTGATAGATAGGGTAAGACAAAGTAGGGATAAAAGTAGTTTTTTATCTTTTAAATTAAAGTTTAATCGTGTGACTCATGATAGTTTATTGACAATAACCTTGTTTGGGAATATTGTTTTCGATTAGCGTTAGCGTTTTGGATAAAATTTAATAGTTAATTTTGAAAACGCTAATGCTAAACGCTACTGTCATGTAGTCTTCCAAAATGCTAACGCTATCGTCAAACGGGACCAATATAACAATGTAAATGGTGAAATTATTATAATGGAGTGTAGTGGTACACCACCGGTCAACGGTGGTCAATGCAACGGATCGGTACGGTGCTTCGATGACCGGTTGCGAAGCTTCGATAGTAGTGGGGTATGACATTTTGGGTAGCGGTTCCCATGACATTTTTTGAAAAGTAATGTCATGAGATGATCCAGAAGCCCTACACTATTACGTTCATAAAATTGACGGTTCCTACTTCTCTAATCCCCCTCTCTCTCTCGGCCCAACCCGAGCCCACTTCCACCCCTTTAATTGCACCTTCAAATTAAGTAGACTTTAGAGTAAAAATCTGATTCCAAAATCAACGAAACTTGGGTTTGCAATTTAGGGAGTGGGGGTTGGGTTTGGGTTAGGCTGGACTCTAGAGTGGGGGGATTTACTAGAGAGGTTAGAAATTGTCAATTTTTTAAACGGACCACCGTATGGCCCCCGAGTCATCCCATGACATTGGTCCAACTAACAATGTCATGTGAACCAAGCCGAAAAGAGTGATACTTCTATTTTGATAGTCTAATTATCTCTTACTCTTACTTAGGAAGCTTTTTTAATTTTTTCCAACTTATTACTTTTACTTATTAAAAACAGATCAGATATAATCAGGTAAGATATAATGAGATTAAATCAGATCAATCTAAAAAAGTAATGTTAATATTTTGTGCATGATT